GACAGGAACTGACCCACAGGAGGAAACGGGCCCAGCCACTCTCACAGAGGGACACACACGCCTTCTCACTTACTGACATGTCAAGAGACAAAGTACCACGAAAGACAGACGTTAACCAGCCTGAAGAGAAAGTGCATTTTTAAACCACGCTGAAACACTCACAGAAACCGGTCACGGGAAGCGAACACGGCAGAATGTTACCCGAAGAGTTCAGGGGGCAGGCGGGTACACACATGCTCACGGCACGGTTCTCTCAACGTTCTCTGCATCTGAATGTTTTTATAGTCCGTTACTGGAGGGAAATGGTCTTACACCAGCCCATTAAGACAGTCTCCACGAAAGCCAAAGAAGCTGTTAGCAGAGACCACCACTACCAAGAAAACCTTTGAAGATAAATATATAAAAATAAGTATAATAAATATATGTAATATATAATATATAATAATAAATAAATATAAATATAAAAATAAAATAAATATCTGCATCTTTGGAGATGAGAAAATAGAAATAACTCCACAAAAGTTTGAGAACAAACAGGTCTTGAAACTCTTAACTAAAATGAAAATAACTGGCAGATATTACTACATTAAAAAAAAAATGACAAGAAAGAAAGAACAAGTCCTAGGTGATGACGGGCCGTATGGTCGCAGCGGACAGAGACCAGCTGGGAAGAACACACAGAACACATACGACAAACATAGTTAATATGACAAAAACCTCTTAATATTAACAAGGAAAAACATAAATAGATGTAAAAACTATAAAAAAATCCAGCCAAATTTAAAAAAGGAATCTGTATGGCAGCCCGCTCACGGGCAGGTCTTCAATAGCAACAGTAATCAAGCGAAAGCAAACAGAACAAGCTGTCATTCGTTGGTCACCAGGCAAAAATGAACAAGGAAACACGGTGGCGCCGCCTCGTGCTGTCATGGGCCAGAGCGTCCCCACGTGGACTGGTGACACGCAGCATGCCCCCGGATCTGATGGCGGCCACGCGCTCGGTCAGCGCCAACGGCTCCCAGAACCAGGCCGATGGGAGGCCGCGGGCTGCACGCTCACAGTCATGACCTCACGCCGAGCCCGGCCCAGCCCGGCCCTGCCGCGTGTGCACACGCGGAACGCAAGGGGCGGGGCTGCAGGGCTGTTCTGAAGACCGTACGACTGACGGTGGTGAGCACAAACCGATGGGAGTTCCATCTTACTGGATGATTCTGTCCCAATTTTCTCAGCTAGAATGTATTACTACCTTGTAAACTAATGAAAATGGTTTGAAAAGGTTCAAGATTAAGGTAACAGATGAACTCTGACATTCCTTTATATGCTTTTCTCTTACGAACACTGTGAAGTACACTACACAGTTTGGTTTTCAGTGCGAGGGACAAGCTCTCCTCTGGACCCGATCACAAGGGGAACAAGGGCAGAGGCTCACTCAGGGCCTTTCACTTCAAACAGATCTTTTCTTTTTTAATTAAATTTATTAATTTTTTAAAGTAGATTCCACACCCAGCGTGGGGCTCAAACTCACGACCCAGAGATCGACAGCAGCATGCTCTAGCGACTGAGCCAGCCAGGGCCCCTCGTTGCAAATAGCTTAACCTGAAAACTCCTCTCTCCAAACATACCCCCACCCCTACCCTGAAGGATCCCTGCTTCTGTCCTGCTGCCACAAACACGTCAGTGCGTGGCGCGTGGAGGTTTCATTTGGGCCCCTGCTGTCCTCTGGCTCTGTGTCCTTTAATAGTAGTTACTGCACGCCTGGCTCCTTCCACCATGTGACACCGCAGCTCCTGCTGTGGCTTTGCAGGGACAGGGCAGGATACAATTCACGGCAACAGGACAGGCTTTCACGGTGACCCGAAGGATGCCAACAGGTGTTCTGGCGTCCTGTCACTAACTGCCAGGTGACGTATCACCCAGGTCTTTCTGGGACTTCATGGAACCGCCCACCATGGGCTGGAACTCTCGAGATCGTCACTTCTATCTCCGCACTGGCTTTTCACCTCCGTTCCCATATCATTTCTCTTTAAATGGAGACAGACTATTGTAGCATAGTCTCAGCTGCCCAGAGATGCTGGAAACGTAATAGAGAGGCCCACGGGTGCCCCACGCCCAGGCCCCTCCCACTCCTAGTCCCCATCACGCATGGCACGTCAGCCACAATTCCTACCGCAACACTGACTTGTTATTAGAAACAGTCTGTACTTCATTCAAATTTCATCACTTCTTCTACATCATTTTTGGTTCAGAATCCAACTTCGTCATCATGGCTCCACAGGCTCTTCTCGGCTCCATCAGCTTCTCAGATTTTCCTTGTTTTGGACCATCTTGACAGTTTGAAGGCGTACTGGTTTGGTATTTTGAATAATGTCCCTCGACGAGGAATTATTTGTGCTTCCACATGATGAGAATGGGTTACGGGTACAGGAGAGGAAGCCACCAGAGGTGAAGTGGCCTTCTCCACTGACCCCAGCCAGGGCACCTGGCCTGGGTGTGGCCTGTCACTGCTGAGGCCGACCTTGCTCATCTAGCTCAGGTGGTGTCGGCCGGCTTTCTTCACTGCCCACTGACTCCCTCCCCCAACACAGTCCTGTACAAGTCTCCAAGTACAGCCCATCCTTTAAGGTGGCATTTTAAGCTCTGCCCCCCTCGTGGTCACATCTACATAAATTACTTCGAATTCTTCTGTAGGGAGACCTGTCACTTCTCACGTGTTCGCTCACGTTACGAGGAGGGCCTCCCGGGTATCTGCTCTACGCTCCAGGTTCTAATCTAAATCTACTCGCTCACTTTGTAGCTCAAATGATTCCAGCTTTAGGCACTTCAGGTGCTCTCGCCCCACGTTGACCAAGCACTTCCTCCCTTCTGGCACCAAGATGCACAGGCCCCTCCTGTACCCCCTTCCCCCCACCCCCAGCATCAGGCATTTTTCAAAGGAGCCCTGGTTCCTTTCACTGATGAACAACATTAGAAACCAGGCACGGGGGACCACAGAAGATTTTAATGCTACTGGTATGAGCGATTTTAAAACATAAAATAAATCCACATTTCTCCTTCCTTTTCATTGAAAAAACATGCTCGTTCCCTCAGAACTGAAAATCAACAGGCTCCAACAACTTCTCCGGTTCCCTGTCCAACAGAAACTCTTCCTGTGAGCAGAATGCCTGGTAGCCCAGGACAGAACACAAGTCTCAGCAGCCAGCTGGCCCACAGACCCCAGCTCAGCCACCGCCACCCGACTCGCTGCCAATGCTGCCGTGCCCACAACACAGCCTCGCCCCTTCTCGAGTGGGCAGGAGGGACACAGGGGTGTCCTGGTTCCCTGCTTCCCTTTTCCAGCCTTCTTTAATAAAACCCCAGTTCTGTGAACACAGGCGCTCTCAATCGCAGAGCTCCTCACACCACTGTCCTGTTGCAGATGGCCCAGGAGTCAGCCACGCCCAAGGACCAGAGGCTCCTGGAGAGCAGTGGGCTATTGCTGACATGGCCTTCACAATGCATGGACAGTTTTCTAGCTGCTACCTGAACTTCCGTGTCTCTGTGCCTTCAAAGTCTCATGCCTCTTCCCCGGCAGCTCCCCCCACCTGCCCACATGCTTTCTTTGAGACTCGGGGAGACCTCGTCCCCCCCTGAAATCACCTCGGACATCAAGGACCATGCTCCCGACAGCTCCCCGCCCCCAGGCACTTCTACTTCAGCCCCTGGGCACACTGTTCTACAGCCCTGCTCACCCAGCTGAGTCTCCCTGCTCGCTGGAAGCTTCCTGAGGGTGAGCGTTTTGGATTATTAATTTCTGAATACCCAGCACTGGGCTGCCAGCGGCTCAGCACACGCTCAGTAACGTGAGCTGGTTTAAGTGAACGAATGAGTAAAGAAAACGATGGACAAAGGAACAGATAATTGACCAAATATGTGGTCCGTTAAGTGAACGAATGAGTTAAGTGAACGAATGAGTAAAGAAACCAATGGACAAAGGAACAGATAATTGACCAAATAACCAAACAGGTAAAACTCCTCCTGTTATCCTGAACCTCCATTTGAACGGAGGACAAGCCCAGCGTCGCCCGAGACAAGACCTTCAACGATCTCCTCAAAGCCAGTGATGTGCGTCCGAGCACCAAGTCCAGCAGGTGAAGAATGCGACAGTCGTGAAGAGGATCTATGCCCCAGTGAGTGCTGGCGGTTTCTGTCTCGGTGGTTAGTGGCTTCACGACTTCGACACCATCCTCTGAAGGGCAGGACTCATCCTACGGAACGTGACTCTGGCGCGATCTGCAGCCAAAGCCGCTGTCACAGCAGCGTGGTGACAGGGACCTTTTATTTCCCCAGTTTACTTTATACCTCCCAAACACCAGCAGGAGTTCAGTAATAGCACAGCCAGAAAAGGTAAGTGTTGGCCAGATGTGCCACTATTCCTCAGGAAACTACAGCGGACCTTTACTGGGACTTAAGGATCAACGCTCTTTTGCTGCTTGAATCATTAACGACGCAGGACGGAACTCCGCCTCCCCGGACAGAGCGCCAGCGCGCTGGTACGCACGGATAAGACAACCTGATGGAAAACTCTAATGCACAAACTCATTCCACGATCCGAAAAACTTTGTTTTTCTAAACATCCTGTTCCATAAGCAACAAGTGATTCACGCGTCTCCACCCGTGGAGACCCCCAGCAACGTCAGCGGGGAATGTGAGGAGGAACGGAATCGGCAGTTCTGCATCCGACGCCAACTGGAAGAGACACTTCCTCCCGACACGATTAAAGCTGAGGCGGCAGGCTGTGCTGACGCCACACGATTAGCCCAAAGGCGCTCGCCAAGTGGAAACGTCTGCGCGTGCAGTTACTGTCGTTGGAATTCTTTGCTTCTAAAACCTTCCTTCCCAGATCGGCTGTTCCGGAAATGGCAGTGTTTGGGTTTGGGATTTAACTCTGGGCAAACTAACCCCACGGCCTGAAGGCTGGCCTACTGCTGGGCGCGCGGCGCGGCTGGGGCGGGGGTACTTACTCCAACACTTCGTAGTTGGACTTCTTCTCGAGCGCGTTGCCTCGCATCTCCCAGTACGAGCGCCTAAAACCAGGGAAGACACACATTCACACACACGTGTAAGGAGCATCCGCGCTGCTCAGCGGAAACGGCGCCGTGGCTCGGCCACAGACACCCTGCTGTGCCATAATGAACACGAACCTGACCCCAGCGGTGACTCCTAAGCCCCTGGGAGGCAGAGAGCGGTGAACACAGGCTCCGTCCTATTGGACGAGCTTGCTTTCTCCTTGAGTGTGAATCAGGTGTGGCCCTCTGTGAGGACGAGACAAAGACTCCAGGTGCAAGGAGCTTAGCTACGACTGCTGGCCGCTGTGCTCGTCTCTCAGTGAGAGCCTGCACGAGCAGGATGGCTGCGGGGACACCAGCCTCCTCCAGGCGAGCAGCGAGTACACTGGCTCCTGCAGGGCCGCGTGTCACCAAGGGCAAGCGCACGGACGTGTGACAGAATCATGAGGGCAGGCTGTGCAGGGAGGAGGCAGGCTGCGGCCTGGGCAGCGCTGTCCACCACTCTGAATGTTCGTCGTCTGGCCTTCCCCCACGCTCCACACTACCCAGTCAAGCCAAGTGGGGCCCCGCAGGAGCCAGGTCCTCTCTCTACAGAACCTGCCACGCGTGGGCCGCATTCTCTCTGCACATACACAGTACCTGGCAGAAGGACACCTCCCGCTGGAGCTGCTTTGGGACACACGGGTAGGACTCGTCGTCTCAAGTCATGTAACAGGAGGACGAGACTCCATTTCAAACCTGTCTCTAATACTATAAATACTGGCTTTGCTTTTTTACATTTGTTTGGCTTTTTCTTTGGTCTACTCAAAATGCAAGTAATAGGTTTAGATAAAAAACTGCAGAGAGCCCCTGAAGGGTCCCTCAGTTTGGTTTTCTTACTTTCTCCCCATGCGGGGGCAGGGGGGTGAAGGAGGGGCCTGCAGGGGGAGGCTTCTCCTGCAGCCCTTCACTTCACAATGAAGTCAGGGACACTGCATGGGGCAGAGAGAGGGATAAACACAGCACGGGAGGCCCGTGTGGGAAGGAGCAGGAAGGGTACCAGAGCCTCTCGCCCAACACCTTGTGCTTTCTGATCCCATCTCCAGATAACCCCGTGCAGCACTGTCTGGAGGCAGAAAGGGGCGGCCAAGGATGCTTCCTGCCTAGATCTGTGAGGGCTCAGGGGCAGGACAGGAACAGAAGAGACCAGTGAGGGATGATTTCTGTTCCTGGGAAGCAGAATTAAGGCTGAACACGAATTTTAATGAAGAGTTGAGAGTGACACCCTAACTGCCCTCGGGTCCTTGTAGGGACTGGTATGTAACAGCCTCATGCAGTATAAAAAATAGTGACCTTGGGGGGAAATTCTAACTGTTCCGAGCATATGTAATCAAACTGTGGCTAGCTTAACCAACTCATCTTAAACTAGAAGCCCAGAGTAAAATTTTAATTGAAATCACACCCGAAAAAGGTAAAATACTCTTCTATTCAAAATTAAAATGCTAGCATAGAAGATAACGTATGACACATGGTGACAAATATTATCAGAATTAAGAACGACATTCTCAGATTTCCTTTTCCCGTAACCTGCGACACGGCAGCCACTAGCTGCATGTGGCTATTTGCACTTCCATTTAAATGGTGTGCGCTAGCGCGCTGAACTCCTCGGTCCCCGCCTGTGGCGCGTGGCTAGCACCTGCGACCCCAGTGACACAGGTCACTTCCATGACCCCCAGGAGACTACCGAGGAGCGCTTTCAGACCTGCTCACACACGTGCATGCTCATCAGTCATGCCAGCTCTAAATGCAATGAAATATCATTTTAAAAGATCCTAAGATTTCTAAAAGTTACACTGACAACCTAATTCAAAATCTCCAACTTTTACTCAAATTTTATTCAGTAGTTTATGAATAATCTTTATGAGGAAAAGGAAAATACTTGGATAATTTCCCAAATTAAAGAACGCCTCAGAGCAGCAAAGTCCTCAACGCCCAGTTAGCACCTTACCGGATTTCCAGACAGCCCAGCTTCAGAGCAATGTCCTGGTCCACACGGTCAGCGACCTCTGACATGTAGTCGCTCTTGACCTGCGGTAGAAGAACAGGGAGACAGTGCTGCATTAGCAGGGCACGGGCAGAGTCGCTCATTCCACGACTGCTTCCAGGGTGCCGCTCACATCCACCAGACACTGGGCCAATAATTGTACTAGACAGTGGATATTAAAATAAGTAACACCAAAAACAGCTACGGAAATAAAATGGACTTACTGGGAACTCATATAATCCGAGAGCACTTAAACTTTAAGAAGCAACAACATCACCTGAATCGCAAGCAGCTTTAGACACTGCGCCCCACCACGCTGTCACAAGGGAAAGCAGGAAGATCTCCAGTTCCAAACAAATCCTCAGTGGATATATTTTCTCAACTCAAACTACAGTCCCCCCAGCATTCTCTGGACGCCCATGGCAAGGGCAAAGAAAATTTACATATTTCCAAACCCGTGTAACTCTGCAACTAACACGTCTCACCTCACCACCACCTGCACGTGAGTAATCTGCAAGGTCACAACACGTGTAAAATCCAATATAACGAGGAGACTCTTGGAATGGGCACCGACCAGTGTCACAAGCGACGGATGACTCACTAAATTCTACTTCTGAAACTAGTTAAGACCCTTTATGTTAATTAAATTGAATTTGAATCGGAAAAAAGAGAAGTCCACGAGCACCTTCTGAGGAACGGCTGTGCTCGGTGACGGTGAGTGGCGCCCTGCTGGCTGGCCGGAGAGCATGTGACAGGAAGAAGACACTTCCCAAGACGAAACACCCTGGACCTCCTTCTCGAACAGCATTAAGGGAGCAACACACACAACAGACCTGGCCACAGGGAGCGCCACTCTGAGCCACAGTCGGGGACGTGTGGCCGCTCCAAGGAGGTCCGTTATTCCCCACAGCAGCACTGCGCCACGGAGACCACACTCCATTCCTGTAGTACAATTTCGGCAATACAACATTTCGGGCAAACCTGTCTTGTCCCGTATTATGGAAGGACTTCAAACACCCCTGATCTTGTCTCTTAGTGCTCAGATCTGAAGTATTTACTCTCGGGCCCTTCACAGAAAAGGCGTGATAACCTCTGCCCTAGAACAAATTCCAAAGACCCTGCTCTTCAGCTACTACCTCCGAGCTGTCAGCTCACTTGCTCAAAAGACTTCTAACCCCCGATAAACTCTGTCGACCTTACACCACGTATGTCATCATCGTGACCTTCCCCGACAAAGACCCCCGACTTCCCAGTCTCTCATTAGCCCTTTATTTTAACCGCCTGACAAAAGCAGCGCCTGCCCAAACAAGCCGGCCACCTACCTCGCCGTGCTGACTGCTGAGCGACTAGAGACACCCGCGCGCTGGGCGAGCTCTGCTCACGCCGGACCGCCAGCGGCCGACTGAACCTGCCCGCCGCTCGGCAGCGCCGGCCTAGGAAGTCTGCCAACACACTGCTCCACGCTTCCTCCCGCCAACTCACCACCTTCTTCCCTACCGTGAGCGTGAAAGCCTTCAAGGGAACATCCTCTCTAGTGCACCCAGAATCTAGCACCCAACGCGCACTGCACATGCCGACTCACTCCTCTGTCTCGGAGAGGAGCAACGACCAGTCACCTGGCCATGGGCAACCCCAGGCTATTTCTGATCTCAACATTTCCTCTCAAAACCTTGGCCTTATTTTCTGCATTAGCACCTAGACCTAGGCAGTTAATAACATTGATTAACAGAATGAGTGGGCAAATGAATGAATGAATGAAGTCTTCAAATTGGGGTTTGGGTACCTCTGTAAATATCACTTTCCACATACGTAAGCAACAGTAACTTCTACTGTTTACACATATTAGGTATTTACGACTGACTCAGTGGAACTGATTTACTCAATCCGCTAAATTAAGTAAAAAGCTTTAATCCTAGAATCATTTTATTTATACTTCAACTGGCCCTTTCTCCTATATAGCAAAAAATAGATAGAAACTCAAAGTTAAGCTTTTGCATCCTAAGTAGGTTTATTACCGCACACAAAAATAAAGGCACAAGAGGTACAATAAGACGTGTATTTCCATGAGTCAGAGAAATAGCACAGTTGTTCTGACTGAACCAGTCGATCTTAGTTTACCATTCGGTTAGGACTTCAAAGAAACCACAGCAGAATATCAATTACCTGCTGAGTAAAATTCATCATTACAAAATTATCTTAAAGATTAATTACAATTTTTAAGCACGTTTCACAGGTGGGAAAACGTAATCACATACTTTATTTCATTCATCAAAACCGAATGCACATTAGTTGCAAAAATGCACAGAGAGGAAATGACAACTTAATTTCTATAGAAAACCCCATCATGAACATGACCGGAAAGCTCTAGGCGTTGTTCTCCTAGATCAACAGTGCACTTCTCTCGGCACACAGTGCCGTGTCCCCACGGCCTGAAGTGATCCGTGCACCCTGCAGAGTGGACTGACCCCACACAAAGCCGCCCAACAGACCCTTGGCTCCCCACATCCCTACCCCAAGCCCTGAGCAGCCCGTGTCTGCAGGAGCACAGACGGTGAACCCATCCGCTGATGACGTTCTCTGAAACTACCACGCACGTTCACAGACCAAAGCTGTGCTCAGGCATCTTTCTTTAGGACTCGGGGTTCGACTACACTCCATGTTCATTTCTCTGATAAGACATCTCTGACTGCCTCTCATCTCCCACTGACTTCCAGCAGAACTCACTGCCTTTCGTCTGTGAAATAAATGCAATTTATTGAGCATTTAAGTATATGTGGATAAAACTGCTTCAAGTAAGCACACTGTGCTCCCTGGCCAGCAGACCTACCTGTGTATGACGTGTCCTGGAGTCTGCAGCACCGCTGTGAGAGGACAGCACCGCCACCCCCAACTTAAAGGCTTAGAACAAGGGGTACCTGGGTGGATCAGTGGGTTAAGGCCTCTGCCTTCGGCTCGGGTCGTGGTCCCAGGGTCCTGGGATCAAGTCCCACATCGGGCTCTCTGCTCAGCGGGGAGCCTGCTTCCCCCTCGCTCTCTGCCTGCTGCTCTGCCTACTTGTGACCTCTGTCTGTCATAAATAAATAAGATCTTTAAAAAAAAAAAAAAAAGGCTTAGAACAAGCCTAGAGAAAATGAGGGCGACAGCAGAGGGGCTGCCCGTTATTCAAGGAGCGCCTGCCAGGGCCGAGGCCCCGCGCTGTCCCAGATGTCGTTTGCAATCTTTACAACAAGTCTTCAAGGCAGGGGTCAGTCGTCCCATTTTATACAGAAAGATCAGGGAAGTCAGGTCACCCATGGTCACAAAGCGAGTGTCGTAAGAGTGAGGACTCAAGCACCAGCTGGCCGACCCTACAGCGTGTGGCCGCAACTCGTGCAAACTCTCCCGCAGCAGAGACCGCAGTCCTCCTCCACGGGAAGACGACGCAGCGTGGGTGGGGAGCACATCCCGCCCTCCGCCGCCCGCAGGGGCTCATGAAATGACTTCCCACACACCGCCCGCTTCGCCTGATACCGTGTCGCAGTCTCTCTTTATGCCACAGACAGCTGCTGTGCGCTGTCCCCAACTGGAGCACAGGAGCATGAGTCTTCTAAGAGAAGACCTCTGAGAGCTGGTGGTCGGTTTGCTTGCTGTTAAAGATTTTATTTATTTGTTTCAGAGAAAGAGTGTGTGCGAGCAGGGGAGGGCCGCCGGGGAGAGAGAACCCCAGCAGACTCCAGGCTGAGCACACAGCCGGACGTGGGGCCACCTCACAACCCTGAGATCACGCCCCGTGCCGAAACCAAGAGTCCGCGCTGACCATCTGAGCCGCCAGGAGTCCCGTGTTCGGTTTTTCAAATTAATCTGCGTCCATGTTGATGTCAATTTCCTACTTCGAGAAACACGGTGTGTTTGGACATCTTTCTGTGGCAAGAACTGTATATATTCATGAGGTTTTTTCTTCTTACTCTGTGAGAGAATCAAACAACCCAAGTCCTGTAAATCCTCCTAGTGAGTGACTAAGCTTTGAGGCTGGTTCTGGGGGTCCCACGCCCAAAGTGATCCTACCAATGTGAGAGTCTGTCCAAGTCCTTGAGGTGGGCTGAAGGCAAATGTATAATGCCTTCCCGTTTCTAAAGTCTTTCATGCAGAGGGATGACCAAGAAATGTGTCGAACAGAGCAAGTGTGCAAGGTTCACCTACATCCTCAATACCATGAGTACTTCTTGAAGTATACAGAAATGACAAAAGAAGAAGAAAGGTCCATTACTCAATCTATCAAATAAGTACAGAAAATAGACCTTCGAGGGGTGCCTGGGTGGCTGAGTGGGTTAAAGCCTCTGCCTTCGGCTCAGGTCATGGTCCCAGGGTCCTGGGATCGAGCCCCGCATCTGGCTCTGCTCTGCGGGGAGCCTGCTTCCTCCCCTCTCTCTGCCTGCCTCTCTGCCTACTTGTGATCTCTCTCTCTGTCAAATAAATAAAATCTTAAAAAAAAAAAAGAAAAGAAAAAGAAAATAGACCTTCGAATAAGTTAGACTTGGACCCATATGTATTTTACCTTTTTGGGGGAAAAATGACAACTGACAATTCCCACACTGAAAATGTCAGGTATTCAAGACATCATGGTACTGGCACGAAAACAGACCACAGACCAACAGAACAGAGTAGAGAGTCCAGATACGGACCCTCAACTCTATGGTCAAATAGTCTTCGACAAAGCAGGAGAAAATATCCTGTGGAAAAAAGACAGTCTCTTCAATAAATGGTGCTGGAAAAATTGGACAGCTATGTATAGAAGAATGAAACTCGACCATTCTCTTACACCATACACTAAGATAAACTCGAAATGGATAAAAGACCTCAACATGAGGCAGGAATCCATCAGAATCCTAGAGGAGAACATAGGCAGTAACCTCTTCGACATCAGCCACAGCAACTTCTTTCAAGACATGTCCCCAAAGGCAAAGGAAACAAAAGCAAAAATGAACTTTTAGGACTTCCTCAAGATCAACAGCTTCTGCACAGCAAAGCTGTCAACAAAACAAAGAGGCAACCCATGGAATGGGAG